TTAGGGTTAGGGTTAGGGTTAGGGTTAGGGTTAGGGTTATTATTGCAAAATAATTGCAATTCTTCGCTATGCGCGCCGCCGACATCAGGAGAGCGTAGCTCGAGGCGCGCGTGACGCCACCGTGTCCGTGATTGGCAGTCGTCGTTGGCGTGTCTTGAGGGAAAACGTTTAAACTCCGTTTTACACCGCTATATAGGACGCGCGCCCATTAGCCAAACAAATGTTCTATTATCAACAGAGACACTGTACATAGTAGAAACAGTATATACCTCTCTTGCCTAGATATAAACATGAATTTATAGTGAAATGCAGGTATTTCACATTAATATTTTTGTACCGTTATACCGTTTATACCGTTATATTTCTAGCATTTTCTGCACTATAACAGTATATTTATGTTGTTGTTTTTTGCCAATGTATGTGTAAAATGCTATAAGCGATATGCACGACGGGCAAATCGGGCACCTTATCATTGGTAAACCTAAGGCATGTGTACTCATTTTTTTGTCAAGATACTACGACGAGTATTTATTCTTTATAGCAAGTTAAATTTCATCAAAATACTCTTCTATATGACACATACTGATCATGCGCGAATACAGCGAGCTCTCTGCTAGCTGATACAGAAATATTTAATAACTGCCTTTGAAGCCGCTGTCATTGCTTTACCCGAAATCTGTGATACGTATTCAGGCCATGTAGTTGTTGTAACTTGTATAATATTATGTTTCGGTTATATCACTACATGGACTATTACAGCTCCTACTAATCAGTATTATTATTATTATTATTATTATTATTATTATTATTATTATTATTATTAAACCTTTATGTTAACAGTATGTTATAAGTTTGGAGTAAATACTGAACGGTATGTCTACGGCCCCGTTGCCAGAAACATCAGGAATACTCGTGACTATCACAAGTATAAATTTTCATAAATTTAACACATCATCTCGTGAATAAATGTTGTGACATTTTAAACTCGTGACGTCAGAACTATTTGCGATGTTTCTGACAACGGGGACCCAGGTTTGCTGACGTTAGTAGGTATGCCTTACTAATCGCGTGTCCCTTGTTAATTAAACTAGCACTTTTAATTAAGAACTGTATAGCACCGGCGGTGAGGAGCTTGCAAGCAAATGTTGACATATATATATATATTAAAAATGTACCGCCTTTAAATAAATAAATAAATAAAATACCTACGATTTACGTATCACGTATCAACTCATTACGAAATCTTTAAACACTCAACTATAACCTTTGTCCCTGTAATCATTCCCCTCCTCCATATCTAAGACGCTCAGTAGGCCCTACCCCTGAAGTTATTGGTGCGTCGTGATATATGTTGTCAACGCCTCTGGTTGTTAGCACGCACTGTTTATGTACGGTTGACCATAGGCGAGCCTGCTACGAGTGCTAATGTATGCAGTGTAATGAACATTTCTCTGTGGGGCTTGACAATCAGTGTCCATCATTTTGTTAATTCGTGTCGTCATTATAAAGCCGAGCTGGAAAACATCGCTGCCGCAATTATGAATCTTCGGCCTCTGTATGATTGCACATTATCAGCGCGAGAGTGGGAGATATAGAGAGAATGGGAGAGTGAAGGGGAGAGAGAAATAAAAGGAGAGATAGCTAAAGGGGGAGGAAGAGAAGAGGAGGAGAGAGAAGGAAGGAGAGAGAGTAGGAGGAGGGAAGTGAGAGAGTGAGACATGGAGAGGGGAAGAGTGAAAGGGAGAGAGAAGGGAGAGAGAAATAGAAGGAGAGGGAGAGAGGAAAGAGAGAAGAAAGAGAAGGAAGGAGAGAGGGAGAAGGAGGAAGGAAGGGAGAGGGAGAGACATGGAGAGAGGGGAAGAGGGAAGGGGGAATAAAGAAAAAGAGAAAGAAAGAAGAGAGAGAGAGGGGAGTGACAGAGTAATGAAAGCGGGAGAGAGAAAGAGAGAGATAGAGAGAGAGAGAGAGAGAAATAGAGAGAGAGTATGCGTGTCAGACAAGGGAGGCAAAACAGAGAAAAGAGACGGGGGAAGAAAGCGGATGCAAATACTGTATACGCCCTAGCCATGTAGCCGAAGAGTTTGTATTGCTGAATCACCAGAATAAACGACAAACACAAGAAGTAGGGTTTTCTACAAGAGATCTTACTCGGAGCAAAATCATATATACCTGTCACTGGCATGTTTCTTATATTACGACATTTGTTTGCTTTCACTGATATATACAGGGCAATATTTGTAGTTAAGCTTGCGTATGGAACACTCACAGACAACGTCAGACAGTTACACTTTCAAAATTTACAACAACGTTACACGAAACTGTGATAAACTGTAAATAAAAAAATAAAAAAATACATAAATGTAGCAATAAATTTTTTACTTCGTTTTGCTAACATAGATCATCATAACAATATACTGGTCGGTAAATTTCAGTAATGGATATTACAAAAGCTTTATTTTGCTTAATCTTGTCAAATTAATTGCTGTAAATTTTGCAGAGAGGGAAAACACCGCTCAAGATCAGACTGTTTTCGTTTCGAAAAATAAAATGGTCGCGTATCGTCAACGTTGCTATAGCGACGCTCGTCGGATGTCATCTAGCGCCGCCTACCGGACGCCCCCTTAGCGGCGCTTGCCGGGGCCACCCTCGTAGTTGGCAGCCGCCAGTCCGAGCAAGTGCTTTGCTACTTGATTGCCAGAGTAACCTCGGTGGAATCCCATGTCGATGCCTGCGCGCTTGTACCTGCATGGACAAGTGTGTTGCGGTTAGGTAACAGCTACGTTAGGAAGAATGTCAGATATATACATAACTCGCACACATGATCGCACGCACGCGCGTAAGCACGCACGCACACGCACGCACGTACGTACTCACATACGCACGCACGCACACGCACGCACGTAACCACGGTGCACGCTGCAGACCGTGTGTTGTTCATTTAAAACCACCAAACAAATACGTTTCATCCAAGCTCACTGCATGTGTTTATCAACTCCATCGACCCTTTATGAACAGAGTCAGTAACTACGTACTTGTAAGAATACACTGATAACACCAGGAGTAGATAATAGGGACCCTATTATCTACTCCTGATAACACCCATCTCTATTTATACACACGTCTTACGTTATCTGCTCTTCTTAAATAATAATAAAACTCGTTTATAACTACATATAAATCTCAAGCACGCTAGCTTGTTGTTCTTAGATGAACATCATTGCAAATAGCTACGTATGGGAACGTTCGTAATGACGTCATTGCACGTACTGTTGGTTCTCTTGCTCAGACTGTACTAACTGCTCCATGAGTGCCCGGATGTACTCGGCAATGGAGGCGTCGCGTTTTGCCCTGAATATAGGAATGCAGTAACAATGATAACAGTAATAATAATAATAATATGATAATAATAATAACTATTATTATTATATAATTATGCAGATTATGGTGTTGGGCTCAATGTACGGTGATCTATGAGGGCTAACGCATGCAGAGGGTGATATTGGGTTTATTATAATTGTACTCTCGTCGTAAACTGACTCTTTAATCTCTAACCCTAATACTAACTAACCTTAACCCAAACCTTAACCCTAACGCTTACCCTAACCCTAACCCTAACCCTAACCCTAACCCTAACCCTAACCCTAACCCTAACCCTAGCTCTAACCCTAACCCTAACCTTAACCCTAAACCTAACCCTAACGCTAACACTGGGCCTAACCCTAACCCTAACGCCAACCCGGGAGCATCACGAATACTATCGGGTGTATTTGCAACAAAATACATCGCAAACACAATCGTAAGAGACTCGTTGCTTGGTGCTTACCTGTCTCCCGCCGCAGCCGCCGACACCTGGGGTAGAGCTATACAGATCACGGCTAACAGAAGGGCCAGTCCCATCACAAGTCCAGTCTGCTCCATTTGCTGTGGCAACGATCCAAAAAACGCGGTAAGTAGCTAGATAGGCAAGTGTGAAACGAATGCACATAGAACTTAGAAGACATAAACTTAATACTTGCAAATGCGCGCATCAGCAGGCTGTTTGTTAGACTGGTACCCGTCCCTTCTCACAAGCTCGATATAGGCTATATCGAGCTTGTGAGAAAGGATGGGTACTCGTCTAGCTGTATGTATGCATTCAACACACTGATTCGACTTGGGAGCGGGCAGAGTTTTGCGTGACGTATTCTGACGTCACGCGAGAATCTGATGGGTTCACCAGTCGGTTACGCGTAGGCTGCGGTGTAAAACGGAAAGGCGCGCCCCGCGCACAGACAGTAGAGGCGGGCGCGGGCAGGAGGTTCGGAGTCGGGTGCCGCCATATTAATCGGTAGGAAAGTGTATTTGCGCCGGGATGGGCATAGGGTTAGGGTTAGGGTTAGGGTCAGGGTTCAACTTAGGCCTACCTTACCCGACCCTACCCTACCCGACCACCCCTACACTGTGGGCTCGCCCTGCCAGAGTGCCCGGGGATTAGTCTTACCCGAGCATCTCCAAATATATCATAAATCTCCATCAGGATTTCATGCTAGAAGACAAAAAATTATCATTCAGAAAACACTAAATGTTTTTTAAAAAGAGCCAGCTGCATGTAGGTAGAAATCGCGTAAACGGGAAGTTTTCCCACCAAATCTATGCAAAATGATATTCCATATCTACGTGCCCCATGTGGCCCTTGTGCACATGCGCACACGCAATACGTTCGCACGCGCCTTGATTGTATCCCCCGAACGAAGTTCGTGGGGATACTATAGGCGCGTTCACACGGAAGTTTTTGGCCCGAGCCTAATTAGGCCCGTGCCAGATTTAGCTCGAGCCGAGCGTTCACACGGACGTTTTTGGCCCGAACCTAATTAGGCCCGAGCCAGATTTTGCCCCATCGAAAACGTCGGACCAGGCCCGAGCCAAATTTTAGCACCAGCTTTCGGCGAGCGGTAGATGCCGCGAGTGTCAAACGTGTACTTCGACGAAATAAAGTCCAAAACAGTATAAAAATTCGAAAAATTTGATCAGGATGCACGTTTTCAAGATTGCAGTGGCTGGAGGTACGGTAGCCGTCGGTCGTTCAAGCCCCTTTTTTGCGTTAGG